TTTCACATATTTGCAATGGCTTTAAAGACAAACAAATGTTTCGGAAATGTTTTAGGAGAGTCAGTTCCCACATAGATTTAGTTTTTTGTGTATATTTTTGTGTTAAAGTACGAGTATTTTCATGTGTAAGTTTGTGTACGTAATTCGTAAATGTGAAAATACGACAAAGAGTTGCCAACCTTATATTAATATATCAGTGGATTCGAAGATTGAAGAGTAAGAAGTTGCAGTAATTTATGCGCTGTGGCCGCGAGGGAGACTGCTGCCTAGAACCCCACCAAAAAAAAAAATAAAAAAAAAACAAAGCCGAATTTATGACCTTGTGTCTACCGACCCAAGGTAATTATATACATTTAGTATAATTTCAGTATTGAAAAATGGCCTTTGAGCATTCTGATTGGCTCCCTCAGCAGTAACTCTGAGGCAATAGTTACTGCTCAAAGCAGTCTGAGCAGTAACTATTGCTTTTCCCCAAAAAAACATGGCTGAAAATACTCAAAATCAAAATTATATTCATAAAATAAACACGTGTATCAGTTGTATTTATAAATAAAACTTTTTCAATACTGAAATTATACTAAAACAATTAGTCGCCTCAGGCTCGGTGATTACAAGCCTATATTCACTTCGCCTTCGGCTCAGTGAATATAGGCTTGTAATCACCTCGCCTTCGGCGACTAATTGTTAAATATAATAGCATGACGTAACGGCAGTGACCGGGCTGCCTGTGATTTTATTCTGTAATTGCAGTCGACGCCGGCGGCTAAAAGTTTTATACTTTATAAATATAGTGTGTATTTTTTATACCAAAATTCAAATTACACTTTCAAAAACACTTTTTGAAGTTAAAGCAAAGCCAAAGGTGTAATAGCCCTTCACAGGTTTATGCGTTTGCATAAAAAGCTGAAAATTTAACAAATAAACGGCATACAAAGCTGAAAAGTATACAAATACTGCTCATTCTTACCGCGAAACAAATACGAAATAAACAAAGTAAACACGTACCCTTTGTCTTTGAAAACATTTATAAGCTTGCGGATTATTAATTATTCCTCTTACACGGCTTTGTCTTGACTGTATCCACGTTCATCTTTGCTATCTGTCATGCTTCATATATCTTGTTTCTTCTCGTTTTACTTTCTTTGCACAAAGTTTATGAAACGCTTTTATAAAATAACATGTATACAGGGTGTATAAAAAAAAATGTCCCAAATGTAAAAATTCCGTTTTTCAGGATATTTTGCAGAATTTAGCAAATTTTTGTGTTCCTAGAGATAGTTAAGACTTATCTAGTATACCTAGGCCAAGTTTGGTTTTTCATTAACAAAATTATGTTACCGGGGGGGTGGTTCCTTTCCACTGATATTGAGAGGGCTTGCGCGCGAAAATGTAAAGCTGAAATTCAGATATTATTTAGCTGTCTAAAAGTAGGAAAGCTTTTTAATAAACTGTCAAAGTTTCAGGAAAAATAATGCATACTGGGAGCAACGCGCGACCCCTAAATGTGACAAATATTTCATTGCGCGCAGTGGATTAAATGCATCGTTGATTTTAGCGTGACCGATCTCATACAAGGTGGGCAAATGAATACATTAAAGCGAGAAACTGAACACAAAAACAAAGCGATTTATTCGTGATGTAAATCCTCAGCATGTCTACCATTTCATTCTAAGCAAACTGCGGCTTGTCTGAGCATACTAAACACTGAACAGCGAACCATTTGTCTGTCGATTCGCCTAGATTTGCCGGTGGTAGCGTAGGCGATTTGCAAGAAAGAATCTCGAACGAAATGGATAATTTGAGGCAGGACAGACAAATGTGGTTCGCCGTTCAATGTTTACCATGCTCAGACGAGCCGCAGTTTGCTTAGAAAGAAATGGTAGAAATGTTGAGGATTAACATCAAGAATAAAAATCTTGTTATTAAATCGCTTCGTCCTCTTGTTCAGTTTCTCGCTTTAATTTATTCATTTGCCCAGCCTTGCATAAGATCGGTCACGCTAAAATCAACCATGCATTTAATCCACTGCGCGCAATGAAATATTTGTCATTTTTAGGGGTCGCGCGTTGCTCCCAGTTTGCATTATTTTTCCTGAAACTTTGACAGTTAATTAAAAAGCTTTCCTACTTTTAGACAGCTAAATAATATCTCAATTTCAGCTTCCCATTTTCGCGTGCAAGTCCTCTCAATATCAGTGGAAAGGAGCCACCCCCCAGTAACATAATTTTGTTAATGAAAAACTAAACTTGGCCTAGGTATACCAGATAAGTCTTAACTATCTCTTAGGACACAAAAAATTGCCAAATTCTGCAAAATATCCTGAAAAAATTTTACATGTGGGACATTTTTTTTGATACACCCTGTATAACGCCTGTTCTGATTGGTTGAAGCCCGTGTTTGGATCAGGCCATCCAAACACGGAAACCATTAAGTAAATGTATATTACAAAAATGTTTACGAAATGACAGTTAAATTGCTGACGTTCTCATTGAAATACAAACTTTCTGTCTTAGCCAATCAGAACGTTCGTTGATTACCAGACGTTACTCGCACATGCGCATAACTTACAAAACCACCAAACGTCGACCGTCCATGACATAGAATTTGGACACTGAGCTATATATTCGCCTATGTTCTACCGGGTCCTGGGTGTAATTCCTAATCTCCGAGCGGAATTAGTACCCTCGCAGGCGCTCCGCGCCCGAAAATTGCAGCAACTTTTATAAAATTGCAGCAGCGATATTTGAAATTGCAGCAGCCACTCTATAAAATTGCAGCAGCAATAACTAAACTTGCAGCAACTTTTATAAAATTGCAGCAGCAACTCTATAAAATTGCAGCAGTGATAACTAAAATTTCAGCAGCCAATGTATAAAATTGCAGCAGCGACTCTATAAAATTGCAGCAGCCACTGTATAAAATTGCAGCAGCCACTCTATAAAATTGCAGCAGCGATAACTAAAATTGCAGCAACTTTTATAAAATTGCAGCAGCGATAACTAAAGTTGCAGCAACTTTTATATAATTGCAGCAACTTTATATAAAATTTTCACAAATTGTTTATATTTAGCAATAATATATAATTTTAAGCATGTCCCCTATGGGCCACCGTAATTTTGCCTCTTTGAGAAAGCATTCTTCGTCGTCTTCGGACTCGCTACCGAGAAGTTTTTTTACAACAACAATTTCATCGCGAAATTTTGCTTTCGACACTGTCCCAAAAGCCCCATGTCCAACAACTTCTAAAGTTTCAACTTGAGCGTATTTAAACGATGGCAAATTATAGTTTTTTTGACGTGTTTTTGTCTTTAAAGTTGGAAGCTTAAAAGCCATGTTTGATGTTTAATAAACAGAAGCCTGAAGCTGTTGATTCTCAAGTGACGGCATGTCTTTGTTCTCAGACTTTGTTACATTTCGTAAGTCCTTAGCGTAACGAAATGAAACAAAATACAAGAACATGGCTTCTGAAATATTTTAGGTTATTCGTTATCAAAAAACCAATGATTTTCCGAACTTATGCTGTTATGCATATGGTCAAACTGAAGCGAAAATTGGACATAGGGGTTTGAGACGTTCACGAAAGCAAAATAAGTCAACGAGAATTTAAGGCATTTTGCCGCTTGCCTTTTAAATACCTTTCAATTTTGAACTTCATGGACCAAAACGACAGATTCGAGTGAAATCGCTTTCCCGAAGGAACATGATTATTATGATGACTTTGTGCCAAGTCAAAAAGGACCGGAATTTAAAATGATTATATTTCGTGCCCACCCGCACCGTGCAAGATCGAAATAATTAAATCTGTAATCTGCGGTTATTCTTCTAACTTTAATTATTTTTCGATTAATATTCTTTCATGTTTGCATGGTGACAGTCGAAAAGTAATTTAGCTTGTAGATGCACCACAAGATGCTGGTACAGGTACACCACTGGTGTACCTACAAGCTAAATTACTTATTTTTCGATTGTTTGATAATTTACCCGCATTTTCTACCATTATCCGCAAGAATTTACCCGCATTTTCTACCATTATCCGCAAGAATTTACCCGCATTTTCTACCATTATCCGCACGAATTTACCCGCATTTTCTACCATTATCCGCACGAATTTACCCGCATTTTCTACCATTATCCGCACGAATTTACCCGCATTTTCTACCATTATCCGCAAGAATTTACCCGCATTTTCTACTATTATCCGCAAGAATTTACCCGCATTTTCTACCATTACCCGCAAGAATCTATCCGCATCCGCCTATCCGCACCCGCGTTTTCTACCATACCAGTACGAGCTTGGTATGTCGTTTTAAGCCGGTTTTCCACTAGCGATATTTTTCGCGCGAAGCGACTTTATTCCTTTGTATTTGAGCAATTTGTTCCAGATGGTTGCAGTTGAGAGCTCTGGAACAAAAGTAAAATGTCGATTCGAGCGAAAAATATCGCTAGTGGAAAACCGGCTTTACAAGGAGCTAACCGACCGTTTAAGACTTTACATCATCGCTTAAACTTTAAAAAGAGTTCTCAAAAGTGTACTTCAGAGTTTTGATAAAACAAATATCACTTTGCAGCTTATATAGTCGCTAAAATCATTGAATAAAATAAATAATCGAAAAACAACATTTGACGTTTAGTGCTTGTATGGTTATTATAATTATTTGTGCTGTTTTGATGTTTTGAAGGTTTAGCTTTAGAAAAGTTTAAAACTCACTTAAACTGCAACGTAATGCAGCAGGCAAACAGGTGATTTCTGTTCACCTTTACGACTGTCTTTTTTCCCCAAAAATTTGCTCTAGTTATTTTATATTAGCATAGAAACTTAGGTCTGGGTAGCGCACGAAATATTTTGCTTCGTTTAATTAATAACTAATTTAGTTACACATTTCCGCACGTAATACAAAATTTGCGAACTTCGCATGGCTATATTTTCCGTATTTTACAAAATTTCGCAGCCAAACATTGCATTTGCACTAGTTTAAGTAAGATCTTTCTAGCTGCGATGATTTATTTTCTAGTTACTTCGATCAAAAATTAGTCTAAAGCGCAAGTCGTCCATTCACTTCTGACGTATGAAATATAATCGGCTGCCGTAGTACATTGGCTTCCGTGGATTTGCTGTTGATATACATTAGGAGACAACAGACTATAAAACATCCATCAGAAGTGAAATGGATCGAACAAAATTGGATCGTGTGAACAGACCTTTAAATATAGATCAACGCACATTACCGCATTCCATGCGTACGAAATCAACAACAGATACACTATTCCTACTAAGTAATTCTTTCACAACGATGGTTTCATCCATAAGAAAGTTTTGCTCTTCCAATATTTCATCCTCATGAATACTGTCACCTTTCGCCATATCGTTATTTGAAATGCACCTCGGGTTCATGCCTACAATATGTTGACTCAAAGAGGTGGCTAATGTGACTAATTTCTCATATTCACTATTTGTGGTTGTAGATTTTAGAGCAATTATTGCCGCAAACTTTCCCATTTGGCATCCATCAATGTTAGATGTAAATGGTCCGTGAACATAACGTCCGATAACGGAATCTCGTTCAGTTGTTATTGTAAGAGCACGTTTTACCATAATTCTCTCCCCCAACCGGCCAACGGCTTGTAAAACAGAGTTATTAACAGTTTTCTCCGTGTTTGATAGTTTCAACTCATTAAGTTTATGAGTAAGTAAAACCTCACGGAAATGTGTGAAAGTTCCTCCTAGGTTCACGCCTCTCTGCACGATCATTTTGCGATGGGAGAGTGCTGTTGCAGTTATGTTCGCAACCAAGTCCTTGAAAAAGTCATTCTGCACAACAAAATCAGTTTCACAACAGATCTATATAAAAATTGAAACAAGACGCCAAGTGGGCGTTAATTCAGGACGTGGACGAGGTACTGGGCAATGGACAAAAATTATTTGCATTGTTTACACTAATAGTGTAAATCGTAATTTGTTTTCATGATCTCGACAAAATTCCACTGTGTAACACAGCCTTTATTCTCGATAATTTTCCATTTCTGTTGTAAAATTTCTTTTCCCTCCTAAGTAGTGCTTTTAAACTTAAATTCCAGGAAAGTAAAATTATGAATTATGATATTTAAATTCCGCCAAGCCTCAAGAGGTTTCTCAGTTCATCGGAAAATTATTGTAACCCCCTCCTGATATTTCGTTCTTCTACAATTACTTCACACCTCGTGTTCGCACTTACCTCAACCATGGCGGCATGATTGTCTTCTACCATGACCCCAATCAAACCGTCACTTGCCTTTTTCTCTTGTAATTTCTCAGCCTTTTGCCAGCCTTTCTTGATTGCTTGTTCATCAAGCCATGCCTGAGCTGCATTGATATCATTGTTATTCCCTAACAATGCCTCTCGGCATAGTGATAAACCATAACCTGTTTGTTTGCGGAGGTTGCCTAACTGTTTAGCATCAACTTTGACTGATAAACGACGTTGACAAAGATTGATTATTGGTTTCCCTGCAATAGCAGTATAATCCTGATTACGCAGACCACTCATTACAGTCTTCTTAAAAAATCTCATAAATTAACTTCAGATTAACAGATCAGAGAGAACTGATAAGAAGCTTTTTTTAAAAAGCACACTATAGAACTCTTTACAAACTAAACAAACTGTACAAACTAGGGCTTCATAGGAGGATCAACTATCATGGCTTATAATATTGCATCATCTTGGACCAAGCTAGTATAGAGTGGTAAAATATGCAACTCATGTGAAAATTAGGAGAATTATCTAGTGTCAAACCATTATTCATTGAATTTTAGCCACTTAGTTCTTTTTCCCACTTATACATATACAGTATATAGAGGTGAAACTGCATTTTCTGTCCTGGGCAAATGTAAATAACAATATACTTGAATGCAGAATTTTTTAAACACTCTAAAATATCAGTAATCTGTCTGTATTGAAATACAACAGGACTGGTCTTGCTGTTTTTACCATATAAAGGAAAGCGCCCTTAATTGTGGGTGTGAAAGAGCTATAAAATCTAGGTCTGTGTTCAAATGTGCCTTCAGGTGTACATCTAAAGGCTAAGTGCAAGAGTGAGGAAAAAGTGTTTGAATGAATGAATTGAATTAATTTGCTTCATAGAAATTGAAAATTAAGCACACATTCATCAGGGAATATACAAAAAATCTATTTAAGAAAAGTCAGATAACAATATACCAGTAAATAAGCTAGTATATAGGGTGTCCCCAAAAACCTCCCAAACCATTGAAATCACCACATCATTGTAATATTTAGAGTTTGAATGTCTAAGCACCCTGTTAGGACCCACAAGTGTATAAATGTTTGACATAAGAATCTTTATGCATCATGACAGTAAAATTTGTTTGTACCATTGTACCCACAATGGCCACAAATGATTTTAATATAACAATTTTTACAATTTACAAACATGGATAATATTAAGTTGAAATTTTAAATTTTTCTATTTAGCATTTTATGAGTGATTTCAATAGTTAGTATATTTTTGCACACCCTGTACTGTATAAGTCAGTAGATGTAGCCTGTCGGCTAACTATCAGCTTTGTAACTTGGTATGGTGTTGATGTATTTATACTCACTAATTCCTGTACTCCAAATTCTACTAGACATCAATGATGGAAATGTCATAATGCGGCCAGAAATGAAAAAAGAATCGTAAAAAATAGATTTTGGATAACTTCGTTGATAAAAAATAATTTCGAATCTTAAAGTTTTAGTTTGTGCTTCCACACACTGTAATTAAATTTCCAGCCTCGTACCCAGGCGCTTCAAACTATATATTAAAATGTAATAAGTAATCATATTAATATCCCTTTCGCGCCCAGTTTGTATATCTCCCCCCCGTTTTCCGCGTTTTTAACTGAACTCTATATGATACTGTAATATGATTACTTATTACAATTTAATATATAGTTTGAAGCGCCTGGGTACGAGGCTGTTAAATTTCCCTTAATTTTAGCAACTCCACGTTTTAAGTGAAATTGCTAAATTTGAGCCCCAAGCTGCATATGCTGCCTTTGTATCAGGGTTTCGGCACAGATTTACTTACCATATACGCACTGTTCCAGGTATTAAGACTGCGATGCAAGTGGTAGATGATTCCATCAGCCTGAAGCTCCTGCCAGCGCTCCTAGACACCCGTAGTGTTTTCATCCATGAGAGGAAGTTACTGCCGACGAGAATGGGAGGTCTTGGAATTCCTATCTTCTCCGACCTGTCACCTGTGCGACTGCGATGAAGAAAATGAGAACTCAAAGACCATCTGTCAAAATCTCTCAAGCAAGATCATCCATCAGAATGATGACGTTCCAGCAAATGAAAATGGAGCATCCATCTACGATTTGCGCCGTGAGATAATTAATCATCGACATGCCCAAAACAAGCTGGTGTTGCAGAACTTGATATCAAGTATGAGTGACGAGCAAATTCCGAAATCCGAGCAAATGATCTCGACCAGTTAAAGGGATCCTCAGCTTGGTTGACAGCGCTGCCACTTGCTAATGAAGGGTATGTCCTCACGAAATGAGGGTTCTTTGACGCAATCTATATGCGTTATCGGTGGCCATCGAAGCGCCTTCCATCCTTCTGCGCTTGTAGAAAATCTTTCACCGCGGACCATGTCTTGTCGTGCCTGAAAGGAGTTTTTATTCATCGACGACATGACGAAATACGTGACCTTCTCGCTTGTGCCATAGACGACGTGGCCTATGACGTTTCTACTGAACCTGCTCTTGCTCCTTTAACTGGCGAAGTATTTCCATCCAGTGCTAATTCTGCCGACGGCGCCAGAGTGGACATAGCTGCGAGAGGTTTCTGGCAGAGATGTAAAAAAGCATTTTTTTATGTCAGGGTGTTTAATCCTTACGCTTCGACACATCGACGCCAGACTCTTACCAGTTCGTTCAACCGCCAACGAACGTGAGAAGAAACGTCTGTATAATTAAAGAATCGTTGAAGTTGAACATGGCTCCTTCACCCCAGTCGTTTTTAGTGCCTATGGTGGATGTGGAAGGGAGACTTCTCACTTCCTTTCGTTTCTAGCAGGCAAGAACTGGCTGAGAAAAGTACTTTAGTACCTCCATCGTTCTCAACTGGTTACGTAAGAAGATAGCTTTTGCTCTTCTCTTTTGCTAGGGTTGTGTGTGTTCGTGGTAGTCGTTCTTGGAGAACTGTAAACATTCCTTCAACTGCAGATATCTCATATCTCGTTGTCGGAATGGAACTCTACTATTAGATAAAGTAGTTTTCTTTAGTTTATATCTAAGTTTATATGCGTAATGTTTTTTCCTCTTGTATTGTGCATGCTTTATATTAAATTTCCCTTTCTGTGCGTGAAACCATAGGTGAAACCACTGAGTGCAACTCACTAGTGTCTCATGTCAGGTGGAATCTTTTGTCTCAATAAAACCTAGTTCAAATTTCAATGTATATGTTTAGTGCTTCATAGCTTCCAAAAGCGATATAAAAAAATAATAAAATGACGTTTCACGTCATTTACGTTCATAACTAGTCCTCATATTCTACAAAAAGACAGTAGACATTGCGCAATTTGCGTTGGCGAGCACGGCGCACACTAGCGAAGTTACATTTGATTATTACATTATTAGAGTCAAATTAGTTGCTACTAAATTCTCATCAGCGGGGAAGAATTGCGGTATTTTTGTCATTCGTGACACATTTGCGAGACATCAAACATGTTTGATATTTTCTGCCACGAGTAACAAAATATCCTAGTGTGCGCAGTCAAGGAACGACAAATTCTTCTGAAATTATAATGCGGGTTACATGACGTTTCCTCCCTTATTCAATACTAAAAAAATTCACGGACTCAAAAAAAGCAAACTATTCGGTCACATGACCAGAAAATGATCATAAAATTATACTTGTAATGTCGGTAAAATGATGTTGTTATGAATGTTCATCAAACATGTCGCTTGTAAACTCACATGTTCTAGCGAACGATGTTGGAAACGATAATAATGAAATTTCTGCAAAACAGGACGATGCGGTTTCGTCTCAGGTGAGGCAGTACGCAGTTATGTCCTACCTTTGCTGCCTTCAGAACTTAGTCAGAAAGTCACGTACAGTTTTGTGTTCTAGACAGCATTTAGCATAATTGATAAATTTCTTCTGTGCGTTGTTTGCATCATTGCTTATAGAAAAAAATGCCTTATGTAATTTATCCTAAGGTGCGGACGGTGCAGCAAGTCATACGACTCACTCGTGAAAACTTGGATGAGCTTGATCGACATTTCAAAGGTGTTAGGCATCCCCCGTCAATGTTTTTAGAGGTACGTTTTAATATCATTATAGTTACCTTTCCACTTTCTTTAGTTAGATTAAAATTTGCAAATGTAACATCATATTTTGTTTCCTAATGCATTGATTTGCGAGCGCAAAATTTTAAGCAAGATCGCTGGTAGATATGCAACATTCCCCTGCTGAACAGTCGTTTCAGTAACATAGCAGTTTGTTGTGGTATCATGTTTGTTCACGGTGATTGTGTTTACTATTCAGCTGTATTAATCACCAGGGAGGCATTCCCATGTTTGTTGTTGATAGTTAACCTTTTTTGTATGTTATTCGTTTTTGTAATAGAGGGTCTTGGCTATTTACTTTCAAGCATTTGGGTGCAATGCATGTCTCAGTGTATGGCAATAATGGCATTTTAGTGTATATAGTTCAAATAACAGGAAGTAACAAAGTGGGTTGTTTGGGGGTATTTGGTTATTTTTCAATAGTATTGTTAATAATAGTTTTCAAAAAACATAGGGCATTGTGAAAATATAGGGCACAAAAAATTATGCAAGATGTTTACATCCGACCAAATAACTTGTTTAGCATATATAGTTCTTACTGCGATCCTTAATTTAGGCCCAAATGTTTACAGTTGCAATTATTCCTGTAATTTTATGTATGATTTTCTCCTTTTAAAAGATGTGAACAAATGGGTAAGTTAGGTATGTGCAAATAGGAATACCTATTATATATCAGACCATAGCTGTGCACTCATTCATATCCATCAAAAGAGGAAAATTGCACCTAAAATTGCAATTGTGAACAGGCCTTAAGAACCATGAAAATTCTTAACTGTTCCTAAAAAAGGAAAACAAGAGTCCTAATAGGTGTAAAAATGTCCTCTATGGCCCTGAGAAGTCAATGAGTCAGTGATATTACAATTTGACAATAACTTTAAGATCTTTATTAGATTTATCTCATGGTTGCACCAGGTTTGTTATACTACATTTATATGTTTATCCAATAGACCCTTGAAATTGATTATTTCACCAATTAAAATAATCAGTAGTACCAAACAAGTTCTTACGATCTAAGCCAAAACAATATTCTCCCTAAATTTTTAATGTTGCATTTATTAATATTAGTGATCATGATTAAATTTAAGTCATATATATTGAAATAAAATGTTTATCACAATACTAAAAAATTGTCAGGGTCATGTCTTGTAATTTTCATCAGGTTGAAAATTTTTGAAGAAATTTGTGCTATACAGTTGTTATCAAGCAAACTGTAGTTTGTTTGAGTGTAGTTTCTTGAGTCTTTTTTTTGCATGCTGCCTTGTCACTTCCACAAGTGTTGGTAAAGAAATCATCATGCAAAGTTAATCACGAAAAAAGATATTTTTGAGGGAAAAGGATGAGGAGAAAATTCTCAAAAATCTTGTAGCATAAGAAGTACATATAAGAAGATTTTCATATTGGGTTTTGTCACCTGTTTCTATTCATCTATTTTCAGTGTTGAGTCTTTCTGTAAAAAAATTATTCTGCAGCAGTGTATTTTAATAGTAAAGATTAAAATGCCCCTTGTGGGAGACTGACGCTATAAATAACGTAATTCTATAGGGTTTCAATCGCACGTGACGTCAGAAACATAATCGATTGGGATTTTGTGTTACTTGAATAAATTGTATAAAAACTTGTGATTGTGTCGAAGATTACATCTTGGCGAAGGCAACATTTTCGACACCCTTGGCCGGATATTTTGTTCTGCCATTCTAATTTTTAGCCTCCTATTCTTATAAGGTACCTTTCCAGTCGGGTTTGCGCATCCGTTCTGCTCATCCGTTCTGCTCATCCGTTCTGCTCATAACAATGCGGGGACCGTTAGTTTGAAAATTGCCTAAATTTCGCATGTGTCGGATTTTTCTAGACACGGACTCTAGCTCATATTCATTTAAAACCATAGAGAACCATAGGCAGGCAGAAATGTTTTCGTTCTCGTGTACGCGAGTCTACTCGGTCTTTTACGACTGGACATCACTTTTTAAGTGTGGCACAGAGAAGGAAAAAAAGGAGTTTATTTTTTTCGTAGGAATACGAAGAACTCCAGACAAAGCTTACACAACTTCGGTTTAAAGAAAAGGAGCTGTTGGAATCAAGGTTACCATATAACAGTGATTATCATCCAGTTTCTTCGGATCAACCTACTGACACTGAGAGTGTACCGTCATGTACCACTCCTACCTCATCCAGTTCAAGAACTAGCTCAACCACATGTGACGTCCCAGGCTCTCCTGTCACACATGCTCATGTCAGAGTTTATCTCCCAAATAAGCAGCGAACAGCTGTAAGTATATGTACTTGGGCTCTTTTTCAACGGAACGCGATGACAGAGAACGTTGAAAAGATGTATATATTTTTAACTTTAAAGGGATACGGCAATAAAAATTATCTTTTTCTATTTTAAAAGAACGTCATGATCATTTACAAAATTCGTTTATGGATTTTTGTCAACTTTATTACTTCTCAAGATATTTTCGAATGAAATAATCTTTCATCCGCCATTTTGGGTATGCATATTCTTGCTCTGATATGCGTTACGTCATAAGCTGGTTGAAAATTCGTTTTGTAACTTCAAATTAACGATACGGCGAAGTGATAATTCCATGGTATTACAATTGCACGTATCTCAAATTATAACGTTTAATTGTAAGAGTTCTAAACTAAACCGTAAACATGTAATTGTTATTTTTTAAGCGTCAACCCTGCTTTTGACGTCACATAATTAGATCTATAATAACGTAATTAGATTTATAATGATAAAACAGGATGGCGGATGTATTTCGATAGCCGATGTTTTTGATCGCCAATATCTTGCGAAATAAGGAAGATTAACAAATTTTGTAAAAAGGCTCTATAAAAAGTGTAATTTTTATTGCCATATCCCTTTAAGACATATGGAAGGGACCAGATTGAGTTCTAAAATATCACATATTCGAACCGTCTTTACCTAGTAGAAGAGCATTCTACTAGTAAAGAGGGATTCTGTGCAAAATGTCGTCCGATCGATTGCAATTGCTTTCCTTTGAAATGCAGACAATCAGGCGGAACTTTTTTTAAAAAAATAAAATAAATGATATGTTCCGCCGCCATTGTAGCTAAATGGGGGTTATTTACACGGAAGGTTAAGATGTGGACGGGTTTGCTAAGGAATTGCACGCAATTCGTTAGCAAACTGTCCGCGTGCATATCCTCACGTTCTCTTCGTCACTGTTTGATGCACATGTTAGCTCGTTTTATTGTTATGACTACAAAAAGGTGGGGGCTGCCCTAAGCTCTTGAACCGGTTATTTTAGTGTTTGTATTTGATAAAAAAGCCTAGTATTATAAGGCGTAATAAATTATATTTTACAAGCATAGAGGTGCGAACTTAAAATTACAGTACAGATACGTATGTCCACCCGCGGAGTTATCAAAGCTGCAAGAATTTTTCAAATTTAATCTTTCGGAAACCTAATTTTAGACAGCAATTATTTTTCCGCAGCAGTCTATAGTGTTCGGCTTAATGCCAAGGTCCCGTTGTTACAATTTTAGGGACATGGAATATGCTCATTATTTGGGTGGACCGTAAGAAATTTATCTATTATACATTTTCTGATATTTTGAAGTTATGGTATGTTAGCCACAATTTTAATAGTGCGTTTTTCAAGTCAAAAGTTCGGCACAAAATAACATTAGATTAAAGCCGACATCTTTCGTGCCAAACCAGTTTCCGGACCGACCTTCTTGGTCCCATACAGGTCTTCGGACCGCCTTTAAAAGACTAAGGGACTGTTTACATGGTCCCGTTTACCCGAGATTTAACGAAGCGTCAAGCGTGAGATGACTTTGATATGCATTGAAATGAGTATATAACATGATCCTTGGTCGTGTAGTTATTCCGACAGAACCATGCATGTGCTTGTTTGGTGTCATACAGACTTATTACCTCAACAAAAATCTCACGCTTCGTTGGACCTCGGGTAACCGGTGGGGGTGTCATACTCCGCTAGTGTACGCCTCTGGTGGGATGTGAATTTTTTTGGAATTCCTTATAGGCATGAATGAAACAACGCGTTAGTTACATTCCATTCCGTGTATTATTTCAGTACGTCTCCTACACGGCGGATATTGCAAATCAGTCGCTTTACTTGTGTCCTAATTTCTGGTAAAAAATTGTACGGGTATTAAGTCCCTCTCACTCTCTGTAATTGAGTGGAAGTAGGCCACTTTTTTTGCCTGCTGTAGTTTTCTCTGTAACGTACACCCCTAAGGAGATACCGTGCAGTCACTTATTCGTCTTACTTTATTTTGTTTATAGGTGAAACATAAACCTGGAACCACTATCGAAGATGCGCTCAGTAAGGCAATGATGATGAGAGGGTTATCTACAGATATGTGTTTTGTTGTTCGCCACCTACCATCTGACCGTACCAAGTAAGGTGCAACTAAGAAACTTAAAGTATCGCAACTGAGCTTATAAATATGATGGAGAACCATCCCTAGAAATATGTTAAATGTCTTTCAAGATGACTCTCGCATAGAATTGAAACAGTGTTCGTCTCCATGACAGTATGAAAATATGCCGTGTATTAAAACTTTGTTAAATATTCGTTACCAATCGAATTTAGCTCTATAGTAAGGCCTGAAAATGCTAATTCCATCGAATTTTCTCCTTCCATGCAATATCAGATTGATATTATATATCAAGCTGCCATTATTTATTGTATGCACGCTATAATCAGCTTGAAGTAATATAAACTTTATTCCTTTTTCAAGTTAGTAAGTGATGATAAATGTCAACAAGACGCCTGTTCTGGCGTTAACTCCGGCGTGCCGCGCACGTGCCAGTCTTCAATCAAAGCTTCTGAACATAAACAATACAGTTTATATTCATTTAGATGCCGATGTACTTTAAAGAGTATAGAAGTTCAATTGTTCAAAAATGTAAATAAACCGCATGATACGTTCACTTTGTCTTACACTTTGCCTTTGGAATTCGCGCTTATATAGTTATATTAAATCTTCAATCCTGTGCAAACTGCGACGTGTCAACGCGCCCATACAAGACCGCATCTTGTTAAACGGCGAAATAGCAGCGATACTAAAATAGGACCAGAATCTACATGTATTAAATATATTCTGATCCCAATTAAATCTAAACTTAATCGAACAGCATCAAAAGAGCGGTTTATTTGTTCTTGGAGGAATTGCCGTATCATGAGAGCGAAATCGAATCGCGCATCGGAAAATTAACCAAAGCAGTGCACCAAAACTCTTGGGAGAAAAAACTGTGGCGTAGATAAATACGGTCACGTACAAATTTCAAATATTAGTATATTTCGCGCTAAACACACACTTGCGACGACGAAAAATAAAAACAAAACAAAACCACGGCAAATTTTCAACCCCGTCGCTCACGCCGGAGTAATAAAGCTTAATTCATCCCGTGGTCCTAATTGCCCATCTGCAAATGAATTTTTAAATGTTCTTTGCAGAAAAGAAATTTCATGGAATACTGATCTTTCAGAGTTGAACGAAGGGGACGAGGTAAAGTAAAACCCGGAGAAAGTACAGCGATGACAATAAACCATCCTTTTAACTTGATTTTTGTGGTGGTTCTATTCGTCTTGTTTAGCACTGTCTTGTTTACAGTCGATTGCGTTATTCGTTAAACTTCACGACACCGCAATATTTCCATCATGCATGAATTTGTTTCTATTTATCTTCAACGCAACATTGAAAAACCTGGGAACGAACCTAGGCTCACTCTATTATATACTTCCACCTTAAAGATATTTTGTCATGCAGTGTTAATGAAATAAGATAAGCCCCGAGCCGGTGCGGAGCACCGTGCGAGGTACTAATTCTGCCCGGAGATTAGGAATTACACCCGGGTATTGTGATAAAACATAGCGGAATCCAAAGTTGCATGTCATGTCATGGACGTTTTCATATTCTATGTCATGTCTATGTCATGTCACTCTATGTCATGTCATGGACATTAGTTATGCGCATGCGCGAAATTTAAATGAGTAGAAACCGTTAATCAGCAACTTACTGATTGGCTTAGTCAAAAATTTTAATAATAACGTCGGCAATTTAACTGAAAATTCGCAGATTATTTTAAAAATAAAATGGGCGGAGTGCTGCTGCATGCATGCATGCTGCGTTTAAATATATTAGTTCTTTTTGACTGCTCTCAATTAACAATGCTCTCAATTAAGTGAATGTTTTGCAAACGAACCCATTTCTCAACAAGGGTAGTGGTGTTGCGCTGTTTTTAGAGACCATATTTCAGAGAACATTTCTGCAAAAATCCACCACGAATAGACCTCGAATGCCTCTGGGTTACTCTGGGTTAGGCCAGTATGGCTTGTAAGATCTATCTCTCGAATAGCGGTTGTGGTGGTGTGTTTACCTCCGTCAATGAAGTCAGAGGATATTATTTTACGATTCTACGACTATTTTTATAATTGTTATGATACTCTGATGTCCGAGAGTCCCAATACATCATTTATTGTTGCAGGAGATTTTAACTCTACAAGTAATGGATTCTGTCCTATAAAAGAGTAACTAGGCACAGTAAACTGAAACAAATTATTAAAGACCCTACGAGAGGTTCAAATATTCTCGATATGGTTTTTACGGATATATCTGAGCTGTTCGAGACCCCACGAATTTTAGCTCCGATCGGGACATCTGACCACACAACTATTGTAGTAGTTTCTAAGGTGCACGTACCAAAGAAGGAGGCCACGAGGAAAGTTTAGGTCAGACCACTGAAGGAGTCATCCTTGGACGCCTTTGGAAATTATTTAAAGCAGTATAACAGGTCACCTGTTTTGCCTGAGCATCATGTTGATAACAAAGTTAACGTGTTTCTGAAGCTAACTTTCAATATGATAGACAGCTTTTTCCCCACAAAGACAGTTAAAATTTATGCCGACGACAAACCCTTTTTCAATAGGAAAATTGAAAAAATGATCGAAAAGCGAAATAAGGCCTTCAAAAGTGGGAAACACTTACGTTTTAAGACTGTTCGAATCAGATTGCATGAGTGATCCGTTCAGCCAAGCTAAGAGAACGTTCTATCATAATAAATTTAGTCCAACATACAGAAATAATCCAAAAGTATGGTGGAAAAACATAAATGATATTGTTGGGAAATGAGTACCATACAGTTGCTGGATCCTAATACACATCTACCAATGAGCACTTAGCGAACGGTCAACTATATATAAACGGCTTCCTCTCAAGTATTACAAGCGAGTTCCAGGAAGTAAGGAGCGAATGGTTAATCCTCTAACTGCAATTACGGAGGAAAGTGGGGCAATGAAATTGAGAAACCTTAACGCCGGAAAAGCACCTGGCCCGTACGCCCACGTATGAAATTGATCACGTCCTTCCCGGGGTCATTCACTATCCCGTTGGCTAACATATACAATGTATCCTTTTTGTCAAGAAGGTTTTCTAAAATTTGGAAATTTTTCACCGTATGCAGGGTTCCAAAGGTTATCCCTTGTTATAAGGTTGAACAAATGCGCCCTTACTAGTGTCTTATCGAAGATACAGGGAAGAGCAGTTTGAGGAATTACCGGGAGCCTCAGCTGTTTTGACATTGGTAAGCCTTGGGCACAAGTGGTTTTCAGCCATGGAAGAGAACGATAACGTTCTAAGATTAATTTTCCTTGGCTTTCGCCAGGCATTCGATTGACCGCAATAAGATGCTGCAGCAGAATTGTTGAAAAACCGGAGTAAGACCAGCACTGTTAGCTTGGCTTGCGTCATATTGTCAAAATAGATCACAAGTAACAAAATGTGGGAACTCATTTTCTGACCCAGCTAAAATCAAAGGAGGAGTGCTACAAAGCACTAAAATCGGTCCTCTGGTTTTTGTAATTCACATCAATGATTTTCCGGGAGTGATTGATTCATCTGAGACTAACAACAGTTCTTCAGTGTTTGTTGACGATACGACCATGTTTCTGAAATCCGCAACCATGATATAGGCACTTTAAGATTCATAGGTGAATTTACCGGAATTTGTTCTCTTCGTAATGACACTGTCCCGACAAAAGGACAAAGCCCGATTGATATTGACATTAAGAAGAGAAAATAGGGATGGATAGGTCAAACCCTACGATCACCGGATTCCAACACCACAAGAACGAAAAAGACCGGGGGTAGAAGCACAGACGCAGAAGTGAAGGCCGCCGGGATGACATGGCCTCAGCTGAAAAGGAACGCCCAAAACCGAGACCGTTGAAGGAGCGTAGTTGAGACCCTATGTTCCCCAGGATATCCAAAGGCTTAAGCAAAAAGCAAAACATGACACTGTGCTTAATAACTACTTAGCGTACGTAATAAACCATTAACCATGTATGCGATAATCAAATTAGCCTGGTTATGTACTTTTTTTTAATGGCGAGCTCCAAAGTTTTTATTAGTAAACTCAGTACCCCGCTCAGCCAAAAAATAACAGAGCCTAAAACTTTGCACTATTCTTGGATCACTATAGCTATTGTGTTTTTAATAGATATCAGTGGAAAAGCGTGGTAACATTCCGATATCGAGTAGTATCTCACACAACTTTGTAAGTATTATAATTAATTAATGATATCGTAGGGATGTCATTGTCACTGATATTGCAAATAACAGGGTCCCATGGTGTGTGTCACCGATCAGAAAAAATTCTGGGAAAATATAGTTGTTAATTTCTTGTGATTTACACCATGTAATTTATTAAATTTCTAAGCTTTCGGCCCGTAGGCTTGGGCCATCATCAGAGAAAAGTTTAATTACAAACAAACTATGTGCGCAAGCACATCATGCACGGAACAAAGTCACGCAATTATAATTTCCCATAATTTCCCAAAGCCATTTTTCCATTGGCTTTAAAGGTTAATTTTTCTGTACTGTGCGTAATTTCATATTTTGATTATTTACAGTTTGTTAAAAAGCAGCCCAAATATGCGTGATAATTTGAACGCGAAACATTTTTCGGCAATTTGTAAACATAGTGCAATAATATATAATTACATAAAGTGGCTAAGTCTCTAACCCCCCCTCCCCTGAAATGTTGACAGACAGTCGATATCTCGACAATATATAGGTCGCGCGTAAGAATGGGCCGAGGTACGTCAGTAATAGTGTGCTGCAGCAATCAGCACGCTGGTGCGTGGCAGCAATCATGTTGTTAGTTTTTTTATTGCTTTAGAACTTAAATGTTAAAAATTCTTTCCCTACTGTATTATACTGTTTTCCGGCTTTTCCCTATTTTTGCTAACTTGAAAAAGTGCAAAATTTGTGCATGTATGTAACTACGCTGCATCATCTACAATCGCATCAAAATACGTGCACATATCATGAAACGTTGGAGCTGTTTACATTGTCTGTCTATTTTCTATTTTAACATTTGTTGGTGCTTGTTTTTTTCAGATGAGGAAAACATTTTTTACCTTGGCATTTTGTGACTCGTGCCGCAAGCTTCTTTTTCAAGGATTTCGGTGAGTTTTTTGTTCCGCATGTATGACCTGCATTCCAAGTCATTCCTGCCTCGCCCCCAGTAGGAAATACAAATTTGTTGTAATTTGTAAAGAAAGAACTAGTTTTGTTTGTCTCAAATAAAAAATGTGCTTCTATCCGGAAATCGGATAACTATAGTAATTGCTTATTATTAATAGCCGGAGGGATAAGCTAGTACGTTCACGCTCGAAGGAATCATAGTTCTTTAATGTAGAACATGCAAACATCGATGCCCCACACTTGGATATACTGCGTAGTGACGTCGTATTATGAAAACAACAAAATTTGTGATAACATATGTTGTGTTTTATAGGTGTCAAATCTGTGGTTATCGCTTTCATCAAAGATGCGCAGCTAATGTTCCTTTTATATGTCTCGCTGTACAACAGGACAAGGTTTATGAATTGTAAGCTTTGTTTCACTTCTATTAAGATGTAGAATGTAATCCTTTAAAATGAAAGGACATCTTTGCTACCCTTCGCACCTTCTGCCCCCCCCCCTGTTCCGACCTCCCTGGCTTTTAGGTTTGTTCCGGGGAATTAATTACTTGACACTGTTGGATTGTATTTATTGCTTAGCGCGACAGCCTACTCGACTGAAAAACACTTAATCTTCAGTGTGGAACGGAAATAAAATATACTACAGAACATCCAAAATTTGGCTAAGTGAAATTAGTTCAAAATTTCAGTATTACACTAAAAAATCCCCAGATCTAATGTTAAAGTTTTTTAAGCAAACAAAATCGTGTTTATAAATGATAATCCCATCGGCCATATTATATATAAAATTATAATTAATTAATATATTCCCGATGAAACGCATGCGAGCAGGGACTGAATTGCAAGTTATTGAATATAATGAAAGCAACCGAGCAATGCAAAAAATAGCAATGCAAACACCGCGAAAGCGCTTGAGTCTGCTACAATAAGTGTACCAGATAGAAAAGCGGCCACTTCAAGTACAATTAGTAGTGTTTCAAAAAGCGAACGGAGCCAATGACAACACTGTTAACTTTAGTGGTTTATTTCCTTCAATATACGTACAAACGTGAAGTCAAAACAGAGACGACATATTTTCAACGTATTTCAAACCTTTCTCGGTTGCGAGATAGCACCGAACACTGTTGTTTCTCCTTTTAATGTTCTCAATTTCCTTGTTTCTTTGACTTATTTTGGTCTCTCTCTCTCTGTTCTTTGCTCAGCCGAAGCATCTTCAGGTAAAGGGACAATTTCTTCTGGTATAATTTCTTTGCTAAATAACGATTCGTAAGACCCTTTGTTTGCAAAAACGCTGTGAACTTGGTACTCCAAGCTGGATAATCCCCAGCTGCACCGCTAAAACATAGCCACTTGAACGAGTTCATTATTTCCATCCATTATTTACTGTCTTGGCTTTTCCTGGGCTATACTGAGTTATCCTGGGCTATCCTGAGTTATCCTGGGCTATCCTGGGCCCATAACCTGTTAACTTTAGTGTAAGTACAAAGTCAAAGTCACCTTTAATATATATGTACAAACGTGAAGTCAAAACAGACACGACATATTTTTAACGTATCTGAAACGTTTCTCGGTCCGTAATTATCTATTGTTGGTTTCGAAACGGAAGTTCGTTCAAGTTGTTATTTCGTAAAAGACCTTTTGGCAACACAAGTTGTTATTTTCCGTTCCAGCGCGAAGATTTACATCAAATGCGTAAATTTTGCTCGCTCTCTTACGAACTTCCATGTGCTCCCCCACGTGACCGTTACGTCACCAACACTACATCCCTCTTGTGTGAATATGCTTAACTACTGCCATATAGCTTAATAGAGCTTTGTTCAACAATCGTCATTAAACATCAACAAGACTCTCTGTCCAACAAACGGCATTAAACATAGAAACTAAAATTAACACTATTTCCTTTAATACAATGTTCCTCTGCTCGTCATTGTGTGGCTGTTTCTATTTAAATCCTAGGTATTCTGGAAATTGTCGTAACCGTTATGGCTTTGACTGTGCTGTTGTGTAACCACTGTGTATGGGTTTGGGTCATATCTTGTCGACAATTTATTCTTTCGTTCTTGCTTGAGAAGAGCTTTGTCGCCCCTCTTCATGTTGGCAGGTGCTGCGTCATTTCTCATGCGCGTACTTATTCATCTTTTCTTTCCGACATCGATCACGCTCAACACTTGTCTGTGAACACGGCGAGATTGTGGTTGCACCCGGCGGGAGTCGCACGAGAGATGCTGCGTATCTCTCGTCCAAACAGAAGAACAGCGTGTGCTGCTCAAATCGTGTGCTTCTCGAGTGTGCGGTTGAATCTTTCGACTTCAGAATTGGGTTTGGGCCAATAAGGTGTTACTCGACGGTGTTTGATGCTATGCTCGCTAAGATATGAATCGAATTCCTCAGCCATGAACTGGGGTCCATTGTCTGTAACGATTTCTTCGGCCAGGCCATGCGCCGCAAAGCAAGACTTCATGCGTTTGATTATTACTGCTGCAGTCGTACTCTTCAATATGAAAACCTCTGGCCAGCGCGTACACGAATCGATCAGAACCAGAAGCGACTCGCCAGTAGGGGAAGGGCCACATAGATCGGCGTGTAAGACGGTCCACGGCCGTGAAGCATTTCTGTCATAGTAAGTGGCTCAGGGCGTGACTGGGAGGACTGGGCCTGACTGGAAATACAAGAACGAATCAAATGTTCAACTTCTTTGTCAATTCCAGGCCCCCAAACCTTTTCTCGCAAGAGTTGTTTCGTTCGAACGATCCCTTGATGACCTTCATGTGCTAATTGGAGTGTGATTGGCCGTACACTTTCTGGAACGACAATACGCGATCCGCGAAGAAGTAAGGACCACGTTGCCTTACGTTGCCTCAGTTCGTTTTCAAATGCTAAAATAGGGTCCGGATTATCTTGTCTTTGCCGGAGACGACTGATTGGAGGACTTGCTGTAGGACAGCTAGGGTCTTTTGCAGTGGCCTGTTCAAGTTGTATAATGGTCATTGCTTTGGGAACCGCGTTCCGGGTGATGTAATGGACATACTCTTCCGCAATGTTTCGTTCGCGGTGTGCTGCATTCAACAAGGCAAGACGAGACGACACGTCAGCGGGATTGATGGCGCCATGAGAATACTGCAGATGGAATGTGTATGGCTGGAGGCGTTCGGGACTATACGCCTCCAGCCATACATTGCTGAGGGGTTGCAGGTGGGTCTATAGATAACCTCAAGCGGTTTGTGGTCAGTAAGAAGGGCAAAGTTGGTTCCATATACGGTAAGTACATGTGGAACTTTTCACATGCCCAGACGACTGCCAGGGCTTCACGCTCCGTCTGAGAATCCGTCGCGTTTCCATCAATGTGAGCGTTCGACTGGCTTACGCAACGGGTCGCATCACACCTTGTTGTTATTGAGTCAAGATAGCCCCCAGGCCAACAGGGCTAGCATCGACGCGTAGCTGGGGGGGGGGCTGCCGGGTCATTCTGGGCAGTCAGTTGTTAGTATTGTCCTGAGTTTATCAAATGAAGACTGGTGCATATCGGTCCAGTCCTTACGGGTTAGCTCGGAAAGGGGGTAAAGCAATGGTGGAAAAATTCGTAATAAATCGTCGACAAAAACTAGCTAGGCCCAAAAAACTGCGAACTTCGGAAGATTTCTTTGGTGTTGGAGCATTATACGAATAGCCACAAGTGACTGGTGGTTCGGGCAAATGCCACGAGCAGGGATGTCAAAGCCAAATAATGTAATCTCAGGAGCACTAAACAGGCACTTCTCGCTATTTAGTGTAAGTTCTCGCTCTTGCAACCGACTAAGTACGCAATGGAGATTTTTGTCTTATTCTGATTTGTCCTTTCCAAAAACTAGAATGTCATCCAAAATGTTTTTTACTCCAGGTACCCAATGTAAAACTTGTTAAATTGCATGTTGATAGATTTACCGAGCTGCAGATATACCGAAGAGTAGACGCTTGTATCTATACAAGCCGTCGTGAGTTGTGAATGTGGTCAGATATCTGGATTTCTCGTCCCGTTCAATTTGATGATATCCCCACTTCGGATCTAACTTGGAAAATACCGCAGCTCCATTTAAATCTTGTAAGCTCTCTTCAATTGTAGGGATCGGATATCGCTCTCGTGTGACAGCCGTGTTTACTTGCCGCATGTCTACGCGTGCACGGATTTCGCCACTGAATTTTGGAACAACCACCAGCGGTGAGACCCAAGGGTACAAACTTTCTCAATTATATCAAGTCTTTCTAGTTCTTCGAGTTTAGCTGAACTTGCTTTCGGACATGGAACAGAATGCGACGTGGGGGCTCGGAACAGATTTAATGTCATTGTTGATTGAAATTTTCTGTTGGTGATGGTGAGTTTTCCTACAACATCAAAGACGCTAGGCCTGTTTGTTGTGCACGACTACGATCTTCTGCAGAGTTACACTTTATCCGACCGGTGATTGTTCCCAAAATTTTCAGTGGGGTTGTCGAACTGTATGCATAAATACGAAAATTGAAGGCATCAATTTGACACCTGTTTGCCTTTTAAAATATGATATGTGTCCAGATCAATCACGTCAACACTACCCCCCGAATCGATGAGCATTTGCACAGGAACGTGTTCGAGTTCCGACGTATGAAGGTTGTGTTATGATTCGATCAATATGACTTATAGTATTAGCTAAAGTTTTTATTTAGAGAAAGAACTTTTTGAACTAGATCAAGGACTAACTATAGCATGATTTTACAACATAATACACTATACAGTAGAAAACAATCCGTTTATATAATGGGGTGGCCCAACTTATTTCTGTATGGGGCCGCTCATATATGGTTTACTTAAATGTCTGGACTACAAATATTATAACAGGTTGTTCAAGCGCTGTTGAACATTATGAGTGGTGATCAAACAAACATTCATTTGCCAAAGAGTCATCTTCAGACTGTTCCAGCTGTTGAGCATTGTCGCTATCGTTCCTTGGTTTGCCGTTTCTTTGACGACGGACTCGAGCAAAATGAACAAGCTTGCCACAGTTTCGACAGTTTTTCCCAATTATGCAGGACATTTTTCGCACGATGCCCACATGTCGTTCGAAAGTTATATTCTTGCACGGGTTGTACAGTTTTTCGAGCGCAGTTTTTGTAGTCTTCGCCAGTATCCGGCAACGTTTCGAAGATTTCTTGTACATCTGCGCCGGCTAAATAAAGTAAGATAGCACGTTTCTGCTTTTGATCGGAGATATCTGAAGCCCGAATGTAGTAATCCAGTGACTTCGTCCATTTTCCCAACGTTGTACCAATGAGCTTGTGTTAGATACAACAAAAAGTTGAATAGCCGGTAAATCGAGAACCTTTGCCATTGGTATGAGTGTTTGCTAGACTTCAATACTTTCTTTTTTTTTAATCCTCGTCGCCAGTTTACTATACTTTCTGTGCTTTTATTTATTACTTCAAAAACCCTTTCTCTCTCTCACGAACTTACATGTGTTCCCCCACGTCACCATTACGTCACGAACACTACAGGTCCTACCGGCCAGCGGATATAAGGACTATATGCACGGTCTATATAGGGGACTTCATTGCACGTTCATCAAAATGGAAATTTTATTAAATTAAGTTTGCATTAAAAGACATTACATTAATAAGGTATTATATATTAAGATAAATATTTAACACTCGCTAAGAATTGTTCTCTTAATTTTAATGGCTAGTCTTGTGAATATTAACAACCGGGAAGAAGAAGCAAACTTCAATGATCGAGGAAATACGGATAATCTCATATCCAGGGAGCGGTCAATATCTGCACCGAATGTTCATAAGATTGGCTTACCAGACGCCGAGGTGCGTAAAACCAAATTACAGATTTTTATAAGAGATGGCACGTAAAAGTATTGGGAAAAAATTACAATGGCTTAAGCACATTACATTGATTGCAACACACATATACATTACACCTCACTCGTTTATTCTTATTTTAAATTTTTGTAGAAAACATTCCAGTACCCAAAAGATCCATCAGCGACTATTTCAGGCAAGTAAATGTTAAACGTTCTTGTATCGAGTGAAACTGTCACTATATTGTTAATGGCGTAATCCAGTTGCGTCGATGTGAATAAAAAATAGTGTGCCGTTATAGAAAACTGGACTGTGTTCCAAAAAAAATATATATTCCCTTTTTAGGGCACTTCTGTCTTGAAAATTATTGTTTAGGTCTTCGCTATTTGTGTATATTTTTTTATCTAACACTGGGCTGTGTCGGGACTGAGCGACAACGAGGCGCATGAAATAATAGGTGATGACACGCACTGCACAGAAATGGGAAGCAAAATATGGGTAAATTAAGAGATCTGCACAAAACCAGTTAGTTAGTGATAGAGTGTCATAGTGTGCCAACGGAGCAAACGGTTTGTGACTCGAGAGACGAGATATTCGATATACTAACGTGAATTTTGGTTGAAGATTTTAGTATTTTATTTTATTCTTTTTTTATTCTTATTTGTTAATTAATATATCTATCAAAACCCATTCGAAATTGCGTGAATTTGAGACTTGTCGAGGACTAAACGATAACTGAACGGAGGCTAATTCTCGACACCTGGCACCTCCGACGGGATCGCGAACTCGTTGAACGACGATGGAAGAAGAAAAGTAGAGTACTGCTGGAGAGACAGTTAAGGAGATGGCCGTTCAACCAACTGAAGAAAGTATACCAGAATTGACAAAGGCAGACATCGAATTGGAGACGAAATTATCCCAGCTGAAATTAGTTACGAGAAGGTCAGACAATATCCTGGCAACAGGTAAGCGTGAAACTATAAAACGCCATATCGAAACACTGCAATCTGTAAACACCGCGGCTAACGAGTGCAAGCGCAAAGTTGAGGAACAGAAAATCGCGAGAAGAACAAGCATGAGCGAAATTTCCGATTGGAGCGACAGTGTTGAGGCGACACTCGAAGTAGATTTACAGATTTCAAAGTTAAGCGATTGGTTAGCTGAAGAGAAACGTAACGCTAAAACTGCAGGACTAGAGCAGCAACGTGAAGCAGAACTAAAGTTGCATGAACAGAAACTACGCATGCAAAAGGAAATGACCCCACCCAAACCGGAATCTCAGGAATGCCCAAGTCGAAACGCAAAGCTACCGAAACTTGTGATTACGAAGTTTAATGGGTCATTTAAAGACTGGCCGAGGTTTTGGGGATAATTTACTGAAGGAATTGATAAGAGTTCCGTGCCCCCCATTACCAAGTTTACGTATTTGTTAGAATTATTGGGTCCAAAGGTCAAAACATGGGTCGAGTCCCTGCCCTTTTCAACCGAAGGTTACAATAGAGCCAAAGCCATTCTCCAAGACAAATACGGCAAGGAATCCGAGATTGTCAAAAGCTATATAAGGGAGATTTTCGATCTACCTCATATTCCGAACAGTAACCCCCGTAAAATTGCCGAATTTAGTGAGATTTTGACCTATTGCGTGCGAGCCTTGCAGACCTTGAGGAAACTCGATCAGGTTAACGGAAATGTCTCGATGACATTAGATAAATTATCAGGTATCAGGGGCGATTTAGTTAGAACCGATCCTGAATGGGAAACATGGGATTTCGAGAAGTTAGCTGAGGCATTGCGACAGTGGGTAAAACGCAATCCAGTAAACGGAAGTGACCCTCTGCGCAAAGATGATTACCGTAAGAAGTTGTTTCGCGCAAGTGGAAATGAACAAAAACTTTCGGGATGTGTTTATTGCGGCGATCTTGGCCATAAGGTAGTTTCGTGCACAAATGTCGTGAATCCCAGTGACCGAAAACAAATTTTAGCAAGAAAGGGTTTGTGCTTTAACTGCGCTACGAAATTTCACCGAGCTTCGGACTGTGCCAGCAAGACGTCTTGTGGGCATTGCAACAAGCGTCATCACTCATCCATCTGCGAACAGTACAAGCATGAACGCGATGAAAGGTCTGCTCAGGATCATGCAAAAGAAGCGGACCAATCACCCGGGGCTAAAAAAGTGATGACAGATCGGGCAAGCGCGGAAGGGATATTTTCAGTTGTTGTTGTGAAAGTTAATGGTGTAATGACTCGCGCACTTATTGATTCTGGCGCCGGCAGTTCCTATGCGTCCGTGAAACTTGTCAACGCGTTAACACTAAACCTAGCGAAATAAAGAGCCTGCGAATAGACATGTTGATGACTTCGCAAACAAAGCGAATAGAAGTTTTCGATGTAGAAGTTAGTTCCTTGGACGATTCGTGCAAAATAAACGTGAGCTTGAACAAAGTTGAAAAGAGCGAGCTTCTGACAACTAGTAACCCCAATTATTACTAACTCGTGAAACGATATAAACACTTGAATTCGGTCAAAATGGACGAACGCGACACAAAGAGCGAGCTACCCATTCATCTCGTGCTGGGAAACGGTGAATATGCTCGGAAAAAAACGAGGCCCAAACCCTTGGTAGGAAAGGACGGTGATCCCGTGGCAGAATTTACAAAGTTTTGTTGGATGATCATGAGTCCTGGAATCGAGTTGGACCAGAATACGATGCTGCTGACCACAACATCTCAAAACGATTTCGAGCGATCGTGTCGGTTAGACCTCGGTCTTGAGGATCCCATCGAGGAAGGCTCTCAAACGATTTACGATTATTTTAAAGACGATCTCACACGCGACAAAGAAGGCTGGTACGAGACTAGCTTACCGTGGACATCACATCATCCGCACCTTCCGTCGAACAAAAGAGGAAGCATAAGGAGACTTAACAACCTGGTGAAACGTCTCGAGAAAAGAGGAATTTACAAAGACTACAACGACATTATTCAAGATCAGCTCGTGAAAGGTATTGTCGAACCAGCACCTGACACAGCGAAGGGTAAAGAGTTTTACATTCCCTACAAGCCCGTCGTAAAGGAGACCGCAGAGACGACGAAACTTCGGGTCGTTTACGGCGCATCCGCCAAAGAATCGGCATCTGATCCATCCTTGAACGTTTCCTCCCCATCGTGCTGACTGCTGACCTCGAGAAAGCCTTCCTGCAAGTCCGGATACGCGAAAACCAACGAGATTCCCTACGCTTCCATTGGAAAGCACCAGATAGTGACGACCTCACAGTCTATCGGTTCACTAGGGCACTGTTTGGGCTGACCTGTTCTCCCTTCCTTTTTGGAGGTGTCCTGAACGAACACCTGAAGAGTTAGAGAAAAGATATCCTGCTCTGGTGGAAGAGATAAAAGGCGGCCTGTATGTCGATGATGTGATGGAGGGAGGTGATAATGTTGAAGAGGTCAAAGAGAGAAAGCGAAGACGGTTAGTATTTTTGAGGATGCTACTTTCCACCTGCATAAATGGCACTCAAACGTCTCCAAACTCGAGGATACCGACCAGAGCGCCGAGGAAGACAACGTGAGCAACCCGAAAACTACCTTCGCGAAACAGCAGCTGGGCACAAAAGGGACTTAGACGAAGATCCTCGGCATGGGTTGGAACAAAGCTCAAGACTGTTGTGGTAAACAAAGAACGAGACGCAGCATCTACGAAAAGGGAGGCCCTGTCGCAGGTTGCAAGTGTGTACGACCCACTCGGCCTGGTTTCCCCAACGACCCTAGTAGCAAAACTACTGTACCGTGAAATTTGTGAAGAGCAACTTGCCTGGGATGAAGAACTCGGTTCTTTAAAGAGACGATGGAAAGAGTGGTACGAAAACCTGCCAGGCCAGTACACGGTCCCTCGAACTTCAGTCCCTCACAGAGAGCCGGTACAGTCAATCACCCTTCACGGATTCGGGGACGCCAGTAAGAACGGAGTTTCTGCGGTCGTCTACGCAGTGGCAGAGCAAGAGAGCGGAACAACCCAAGGTATCGTGTGTGCGAAGTCCAGACTTGCGAAGAAGAGCCTCACGATTCCCCTTTTAGAGCTTGTCGCTGGTCATATGACCGCAAACCTAGTGACGAACGTCAGCGAGCGATCGGAATGGAGAAGGTGACCGAGATACACTGTTGGCTGGACTCGACAGTCGCGTTATATTGGATCAATTGACAAGGCGAATACCGGCAATTTGTATCCAACCGAGTGAAAAAGGTGAAAGAACTCGACCGGATCAGATGGCTTCATGTCCCAACGAAAGAGAATCCCGCTGACTTAGGGAGCCGCGGAGGAGATGTGGTGGGAAACGAGTTATGGAAGCACGGTCCTACGTGGCTTAACAACCAGGAGAAGTGGCCGCCGGAAGTTGTGCCTGTGGCGAGTTCGGATTCGAAGCAAGAGGGAAAACCGTCGACGCGAGTCAACGGCACACGAGGACGTATTTAATGCGGAAAACCCTTCGAATTTGTGCTTGGATTAACCGCTTCATCCAACACACCCAAAGGAAAGCAAAGTCCCTGGGACCGATAAAGACGCAGGAGATCGAAGACGCACGGTTGTGGTGGATTAAACGAGTTCAAGATGGAGCTAGGGACGCACCGGAATTCGAGAGTACGAAAATCGAGCTAAACCTCCAACCTAACCAGAACGGAATTCTAGAGTGTCGCGGGCGAATCGAAGGCGAGTACCCGGTATACTTGCCTGCGAATTCGCAGTTTTCGAAGAAACTAGTCAAACAAGCGCACATCATCACTCTTCACGGGGTAGTACCGGCGACCATGGCTGAAGTTCGTGAGCGATACTGGATACCTAGACTACGTCGTCTTGTGAAGCAGGTACGAAGCAAATGTCATGGATGTGTGCGATTCCGCGCTCGTGCGTATCACAGACCACCGCCTGGACGACTACCAGTTACGCGAACGCAAGGAGAAACCCCATTCCAAGTGATAGGAGTCGACTTCGCTGGACCAATCAAATACAAAACAGCAGGAAAAGCGGAAATGAAAGCGTACCTGGTACTTTACGCGTGCAGCCTCACAAGAGCAGTTCATTTGGAGGTGTTGAAATCGTTGGAGGTTGTCTAATTTCTGCCCCAGCTTAAAAAGATTGATCGCTCGAAGGGAGAGACCGCAAATCATATACTCAGATAATGCCACTACGTTCAACTCTGCGGCAAACTGGATGAAAAAGGCAATTGGAAATGAGATCATAAACGGTTTCCTTACGGACAAGGAGATTCATTGGAGGTTTAATCTGAGTCGCGCACCCTGGTGGGGTGGACAGTTCGAGCGGTTGATCGGTCTCTTTAAACGATGTTTTTATGAAAGTATAGGGAACGGTAATCGGAATGGAATGGAACGGAATTATAGCATGTACAAGAATTATATATATCTAACCTTTGAAGAAGACATGATCCTAGACATCGAAGTTGTAATGAACAATCGACCGTTTATATACGTTGAAGACGATGTAGAACAAACTGTTCTCACCCCCGCAAGAATGTTGCAGATAAATCCAGTTATCTTACCTGAAGTGGAATCGTATCACGTTGAGGACCACAGCCTTCGGAATAGAGCGAAGTTTCTTCGTAGATGCAAGGATTTGTTGTGGAGACGGTGGTATAGAGAATACGTTCGTGGGCTAAGTGATCGACACCGACAAGATAACGGAAAAAACGCAGACCATCCCAACCGTGGTGATGCTGTCATCATCGAAGGAGAGGAGAAGAACAGAAATTTATGGAAGATGGACGTAGTCGAAGAGCTGATTCGTTGGCGTGATGACGTAGTGAGGGGGGCAAAGATCAGGACGCCAAATGGAATTCTTGAACGTGCAATACAGTGACTCTACCCGATAGAACTTTCCTGTGACCTACCACCTCCAACCACGTTAAACCCAAACACCCCTCCCTTTCAACCGAAACGCGATGCAGCAGCAGCGGCAGCAATCCGCTTACGGGATCAAGCAGAAGATGAACGGTGACATTTATCCATATAAGGGCACTAATATTTGATTGCATTTAAGCTTGAATCAGTACCATAAGGTCAGACCCTTCGTAGACATATATCAGACCACTAAGATATATGGGGGGAGTGTGTCGGGACTGAGCGACAACGGGGCACATGAAATAATAGGTGATGAGACGCACTGCACAGAAATGGGAAGCAAAGTATGGGTAAATTAAGGGATCTGCACAAAACCAGTTAGTTAGTGATAGAGTGTCATAGTGTGCCAACGGAGCAAACGGTCTGTGACTCGAGAGACGAGATATTCGATATACTAACGTGAATTTTGTATGAAGATTTTAGTGTTTTATTTTTTCTTATTTGTTAATTAATATATCTTATAAAACCCATGCGAAATTGCGTTAATTTGAGACTAAACGATTGTCGAGGACTAGACGATAACTGAAAGGAGGCTAATTCTCGACATCTGATTATTTTATAGTTGCTGTTGCATCTCGACTTGGAGTAGAGAAACCGAACACTCTAAATCCAAATGTAGAATCGCTTCCTCACTTATCTGACGTATTCGACGGTAGACCAGAGTCGATCAGCAATTTCTCTTTGCGTTCTGGAAGCCATATTGTGTTACCCGAACGACCGATGACGCCAAATCTCGGCGCAACTCGTCCTACTGCTCGGTTTAAATCCCGCGCGAAATCTTCATCTGAAGTGGTGAGAGAAATAGCTTTAAGTAGCGTATAGAGGCTTTTCGCCATCAGACTTCCTTGTTTCGCTGTATTCTTGTAGTATATTGATTCGTCCCTTTAAGTGTATTGCTAAATGTATAGTTGCTTTACTTTGTAGATTTTATGAATTTTCAAACCTTAGAATACTTTTACTTTTAGAGGGAACAGCGACCACGTCATAATTCGAACGATGACTGGGAAATTCCAGAAGAAGAAGTGGAAATGGGTGAAAGGATAGGGTCCGGTTCATATGGGACGGTTTTCAAAGCGCAATGGCATGGTATGTTTGCATGCGCAGCAATAGCGTTGTACAGTATGTAGGTGGTTGTTTAGCAGAATCGATCGTAGCATCGTAAATTTTCGATTCCCTCTTCTAATAAAAAACAGATGAATTACACAACGGAAAACCCTATCTAGGATACCTTCTTAAGATACCTTCTTATGTGGGGCAAAATATATATAGAGTTTCGAGAAACTCCAGGATTGAATGTGCGCTGACTTTAAAAAAAAGAAAAGATCAATTATTACAATTATTGAAAAAAGAGAGTTGACGATTTTAGAAAAGGCCGATGAGGAGTCAGCACGATCAAATCTGTTGTTATTATCACGCAAAAACATGCTGAGCATTGTAATATTGATTGGTGGTACAGTATATGGAAGATTTTACATTTAACACTTATTTACTCTTGACCAATTAAACGCCACGAACACCAAATTTTGACTATATATATATATATATATATATATTAATATATATATATATATATATATATATATATATATACACCCATTTGCAAAAACGTTGGCCGCAGATAGATAGATAGATAGATACTCGAAGTCTAATTAGAATTGCATATGATTACATTTGCATGGGATTTCTATAATATTACACAACATATGCAATTCTAATTAGATTTTAAATATTTGACTATATATAAATATATAATATTAAATATATATATATATATATATATATATATATATATATATATATATATATATATATATATATTTATGTTATTTATGTTATTTACCAGATTGGAGGTCCGTATAGGGAAATATTTCTCAAGGTCTCAAAAACGGCCGAGGGACGTTTTGAGACCGAGGGAAATATTTCCCTATACGGACCGACTAAACTGGTAAATAATACATTTATTTTTTTCTTACGGTCCATTCATATTTTAGCGTCATGGCTCTGTGCTTATAAATCTCGCGTGGTCCGTACGGCCTCATACGGACCGCTCGCGTAGCCGTTGCAGGAAACGCTAAAATATGAATTCAGACTGCAAGAAAAAAATTAAATAATAATATTTGATATTTCTAATCCGGCTGTGAGGTTCCATCCATGTCAAAATAGGATTCAGACATTTCATTCCTATCGATCAAACTTTTACAAGTAAGCAACATATGAAAAGACAGAAAAGAGTATCATTTTACATATAGTTATAGTTTTCACATAAAATTGCTTAAAAAGAGAAAATCGCTTTTCCTCTACAAACAACGAAAAATTTTCCCCCAGTGCGTCTGTCTGTCGATTGACGTGTTTTTGGCCATTCCCCTTAGGCACAGTTGCTGTAAAACGACTAAATATAACCGATCCTACACCTGCCCAGCTTCAAGCCTTTAAGAACGAAGTGGCTGTATTACGGTAAGCACCTGGAGAAATTTGCTATTTTATACATGTTTTAGAGCTTTATCAGATATTTTTAGTTAACAAAGATTTCAATGAATACTGACGGTACAACTACACCCATAACCAAATCACGAGCAACAGCTTTCGCCATTGCGGAAAAATCAACATATTTGTGATGATTTGGGACGTAGAAATTAGCCTTAAATACAGTGTTGTCTCAGGTTATTATAATTATGCAAATCAGTTTTCTTTTTTTATTTCGGTTTTTATGTAAAAGTTTTCTTGTTGAATTTGACAAATTATCTTATAAAAGTCCAAATAAGGTGTCTTATTTCAAAGTGTCCAATATCCGGGTAGCTATAAGTCCATGTAGTTTTCTGTTGAGTTATCACATAAGCCGAGCAGGTTTGCTTCTAAAATTGGGAAGATGCGGGAAGGACTTAGAAGGCAATAATTGTCACCAACCTAAAATGTAGTAAAACTGAACTTCAAATATCCAAGATGCAAAAGAGAAACAATGGCAATATAAAAAGCTGTAGACTATGGCAAATTATCCGTTGTTGGCAAGCAGCGAAGTGTTGATGCGGGATCAGGAGTTGCAAACATCAACCTGTTCAGTAGCGTAGCCAGCCTGACGATTTGTCCTGTCCTATGCTAATATTTTGGAGTTCATTGACTGTGAAAACAATTAATGAATTTGCACATAAATGAATGATTTTAATAACTGGAAATTTACATAGCGGGACAAAATCGTCAGGCTGGCTATGCCACTGAAGGTGTAAATTGGTGTCAAAGAAATTAGCTTCATTAAGAAATCTAATAGAAGGCCACCTTCCAGAGTCGTTTTTTGCAACTGATTGTATCTTTATTGGCATGACAATGCGCCATCACATACATACAACTAATGCAACTCGTCAATTTTTGGAGCAAAATAGAAATTCTGGTAGCTAAAAAGTTACTTTCGGTGCCCTAGCTCCTGCGAGGCTTGATCTTTATCTGCATGATTGAGAACTTCTGAGTAATGGTAAAAAAGTTTTATGTTGGGGATAGGCAGTACGACAGTATAAAACTCTTAAAATTTGAATAGCTCGTAAAACTAGACGGATTGTTTGCCTGGTTTGCTTTTCAATGGTGATTATTCGACCGTACTGGATTCCAATGACCGGTCACAATTAAAAAAAAAAAACAAGCGAAAAATTTCTTGCAATCGGAAAAACCACCTTAAGAAGACAATAGTGTCCAACCATTCAACGTGATGAGACTATGCCAAACAACACCGAAAGTAATGAAAACAAGAAAGACGGAACTGATCTCTTCTAAAAATTTCATGTTTTTTATGGTTAGAAAAGTTGGTAATGATACTTCGACTCGCACATACAAATATAGAATACGCTACCAAAGGCTTTTCAATTTCTGTCTTCCCTGGCTTATGTCAATTGTCCTTGATTGAGGATGAATGTGCTCTTGCATGTGATGTATATGTCAATATCTTTTTACATAAAGACTAAACAACTATATTTAACTGTTTAAGACTAAACAACTATTTTTAATTGTTTGAAATTTAGAATTCCCCAGTCTTATCTTAGAGGATGAATGATGATCAAAAATAATATATATATTGAAGGGATACTTACAGCCAATTCAAGCTTGTCCTCTTGAACTCCGAGTGCAAGAGGGAACTTGAGATTTAACCTATATATAACTGTCCTATAGGACAATATGTATATATACATGCATATAAGCCAGTATATATGTCCGATATTCTATTCTGTTTTCTCTATAGTAACCTTGACATATTATCCTGCTGTATATCAAAACAGTCGAATACTCGTACTAATAAATAACAATTTTTCCATTTTCAGAAAAACGAGGCATATTAACGTGTTACTATTTATGGGATGTATATCGAAACCGTCCTTAGCGATAGTCACTCAATGGTGCGAAGGTTCGACGTTGTATCGACATCTTCACGTAAACGAATCAAAATTTGAGATATTACAACTATTGGATATTGGCAGACAAACAGCCCAAGGAATGGAGTAAGTATCTCTGATTTAATTAACCCAAAAGTAACAATGAAATATCAATTCTCAATGTAAGAAATAAAATGAAATAACTTTTCCCTATTATTGTGTACCTTCTTGACCTGGAAACTCCGCGCTTCATAATAACAAAACACCTGGGTCAGTGGTATAAAAGACTAGTTAAGTAGTTTAGGGAAGATTTGGCCAATCAAAGTTGTTTAGCGTGTTAATCGGCCATGAAGTTCTACTTGTCAAATTAAATTTATATGGATTCGATGCCGTAAACCTACAAATATTCAAAAACTATCTAATGCATCGAAAGCAGTATGCCGAAGTTAACTGGTGCAAATCAACGCGTTGCTCAGAGTATTTTGGGCCTACTTTTGTTCTTAGTATTTATAAACGACCTACTTTCATATATATCAAATTACAGAAGAGGACTGCTCGGGTGATCTTGGGAACTGATAGATACTAGAGGTCAATTCATAATTTTACTAAATTAGGTTGGATACCGTTTTACCACGAAATAAAGATCAACTCACTTATGTATAAGAACCTGCATGGCCAAACATCAAAATATAGTGATAATTTACTAACAAATAACTACTCGATACCTGACAGAGAAACAAGATATGGAAAGCTGAACTTAGTCTGCCCTAAATTTAACCGGGTAACTGAAGGAGGTAGATCAATTACGGTGACGAGTATAAAATTTTGGAACAGTCTCCCAATGGAAATGAAAAGACCTATACCTGCCACCCCCTAAAATAAAGTCGTTATTATTATTATTATTTAACTATACAAAATGTAGTTAAAGAGTTTTATACAACCGGCCCCAGGGCCAACAAACGGTCGATCACATTGTTAAAGATGTGCATGTTTCCCTCTCATCTTAACCGTAATCTACCAGCGCATAATTTTCGTCCTCCATGTATTTGCAAACGCCCGAGGGATACATTATTATAACTTGTTTTGTTTTAGTTATCTCCATGCGAAATCAATCATTCATCGAGATTTGAAGTCAAATAGTATCCTTTGCATTAAAATTCTACAGAAAAAGGTTGTGGGCACATCACAGGTAAGTCGTATAAATACAATAAACGAAGGTTTCGGAAACATTTGGGGGGGAATGATAAAGAATAATTTACAAAAGATGATATAGGATTTGTCAATGGGAAGCGCACTCGTATGCAAATTTAATGTGTGTATATTCGTGTGTTTTCTAACTATACATAAATACAGTTAACGCTCCATTTCGGATAGACACAACATTTTAAATCATAAAAGGACCAAACGAGACACCAAACACGCAATCAGTTGTGGGAGAAAGGGATACGAGGAAGAAGTGCTCCAAATATAATGTAGATAAGGTCGAAGTTACACCTTACTCGTCACAGCTTTATGCTTGTAGTTTATGGTACAATTAATTATATAGTCCTTGCCAAGCACTCTGATGTCCTCAGGGGTCGTGGATCCGCATGTTGGACGTCCTCAGGGGTTTAACAGCTGCTCCCCAGTATTGGACTTCACCCAAAAGGGGTCATAGCTCCCCAGATATAGGTATCCAAATGTCCAAAGGGTCGTGGATCCCCATGATGGTCATTGTTTACTTAGGTATAGACAAAAATGCATGTAGATTTATGCGAGTCTATAGGGTAGAGGGTGACCTTCGGGAGCACTTCATCCCCCAGAACCAATGTTTATTAATTGAAAATACATTGAACAAAGTGTTTTTGTTATTTTTTTTTATTATCTATTTATTTTATTTTTATCATGGTTTTATGCAAATTGGTGCAAAATCGCGAAGATGGATGGGCGGGTTGGAAAAGCTTTTAAGAATGTTTAACGAAAGTTACCCCTTTGAGCTTTAGGTATAGAATGCGTCAGATATGTTTGGTAGTGCCACAATGTTAACAACATGAGCCCCTATTGGTTAAGCGGTACTGTTTCCGGTGGCGTACGTTGCTAATTGGCTGCTTGCTAATTGCCTTGAGGCTTACACGTGCAGGATCACGCAGCATCCGTCGGGTCCAGCGGTAAACAAATTAGATGGGAAGACTTTGCACCAGTCCGCAATTTCTTATCCGAAAGCTTGTTTCGTTAACTTAACTTCATGCCGCCTATTGGCAGGAATAAACATGCTTGTAAACTATAACATGAACACAGATACATGACAAACAATTATACCTGACTGTTGACTTCCCAATTTAATAAATCTCAACCACAGCATCGGACAAAAAAAATATATATGTGTTCCGTCCGCGTTACGCAAGGGCCAACCTAATATGCGGATTTAGCATTTACGCTAGCCCAAATCTTAATGACGAAAAGACTACGGCAGTTTTAAACACCTGGAAAGTGTTTGGGGAGAGGGCGTTAATTTTGTTGCGAAAAGATGGCTCCCTTGTGCTTACCTAAGTCCTAGTCAGCTTATATCAATCGTGATTTGTTGCATCAGTATTCATCAATGTTACATCAAGTTCTGTTGCCTTTGACCAAAACTGTGTAGATATCTTTCTTCAAGAAGATTTAACGGTGAAGATTGGCGACTTTGGTTTGGCAACCATAAAATCAAGGTGGAGTGGGCAGAATTTTGAACAACCATCAGGCTCGATATTGTGGATGGTATGTATGATCACGAATACAACGAGATAGAAACGTGTTATATGAGTTCACCGAGTTTTATTTGTATTCGATCATCATTCCCAAACTTTGTTTTCGTCCGATATTCTTTCGCTTAAAGCAAAGGCAATCTTTGTATATTTTAAGGCTCCCGAAATAATACGGATGAAAGAATCTCATCCTTATTCCAACAAGTCCGACGTCTATGCTTATGGCATTGTGTTGTATGAACTAACTTCCCGAACTCTTCCCTACGCAAATATTGGAAACAAAGATCAAGTAAGTTTCACTAAGCATTTATATAAGTGGGGTTCATCTTCTAATATTTCACTATATGTTCGAGGTTTTCGTTGAGCAGGAGTGAGCTAATAGCCCCATTTATACTAGAGACGGATCATCCGTCTAGGCAAACTTGGCCAGGCAAAAGATATAGTTCCTCTTTTAGTTCGTGTGTGTGTGAACACAGGCAAACAGACGGATCAACTGTCAACACGAATTATCCGCATAGTTTGAATGAGTAGTTCGTCTTGACGCATCGTCCGTCTGTTAGTATAAATACGGGGTGGGGACGAACTACGGCAAATTCATCATAAAACGGCCTTTTATACCGTAGAGTGTAACTCTTTTCTATCCGCGTCCATCCTTCCATCCCGTAAATTCAACTCCGTCCCTTAATGTCAACTTTTATCTATAACTTTATCGGTAATTCGAACAGGAACACTATTAATACCTGCCATGCGAATTCGTTTCCACTATTCCCGTGCACTTTCTAAACTAAATAATTTTTTCTTTTATTTTAAAAAATTAAAAATCTTCTCATGCCATATTGCAAGCCAAGTTGCTCTGAGTGAAAAGAAGACTTGCATATAGGAATCTTCAATCACAATAGTTACCCAGATCAGACACACCCAATGGTGGAAAATAGACCATTTTTGCAAAAATGAACTAGGTTTTAACGCTAGAACGACGCAAAATATTTTTGCCAATAAGTTTGTATTTAATTGAGAACGTCAGCAAATTGTCCTTTCGCGAAATATTTTTTAAAAGATGCAGTTTTTTGTAGCCTGTATGAGCATAAAATCGACTGCAAATATTCGCATTATAAATATTCGAAGAATAACATTTGACGTTTAGTCCCTGAAGATGTTGTACTGTTTTGACGTTTTGAAGGTTGAATGTTTAACCATTATACTAAGCTGTAAAAGTCCATAAATTGTAACTGGGCCATTGAATTATAAATTTCCTGTTGGCAGCATCTGAAAAACGGGTGATGTTAACTTCACAGTTTTTCATTATATTTGGCTATATTTGATTAATCTGAGTCATGTCATAATATAAGCTTAGATTTTGCTAGCTCAAGAAATTGGTTGTTTCGATTAAATTGGCGAGGGGTCACTATTAGCATGCATATAGTTTTAGTAATGTTATAATAGCACCGAGTGGGGTGAAATTTTCGTTCACGACATGAAGTGAAATTATCTATCAATTTGTGACGAATTCTGCTCCGGCCCGTGATGGTATTATCTCAATTTCCTCCAATTTTTTTTTGGAAAAGTGTTAGTCGCATGAAAAGAAATTACTAAGAAGGCTTTTTTCGTTGTAAAAAACTTTCATGTATAAAAATACAAGAAATATAAAGGTATTCTGACATTTCACGCACGGAATAGTTCATTAAAATGGAGCCTTAGATCAAACCACAGTTATTAGAATATACATGGTTTGGAGACTAGATCGAAGTACAATTAAACTCATTATAGTTATTTCCAGGTTTATGCAAAAATGGTTTCTTATCCGTCACATGTCTATTGTATTTTCCCCCGACTAACCAATAGCAATGGCTTGGCTTAGCTCCTCGACCGTGACTTAAACAACACGTTAATTCAGACCTTACTATTGGTTTATTTGTTCAAAATACAATAGACACGTGACGAATAAGGAACAGGAGTTCTATTGTAGCTTTATGTCTACTAGTCTCTAAACCACTTATATTCGATTAACTGTGATCAAACAAACTTCCTAAAACTAAATTATTAATAGTGTTGACAAAATTCTTGTTAATATATTTTCCTTTACAGATATTGTACATGGTGGGAAGGGGTTTCCTAAGAGTGGACCTTACTAAGATACGATCTGACACCCCAAAATCTTTAAAACGATTGTTAATGGACTGTATAAACTACCACAGAGACGAACGTCCGCTGTTTCAACAGGTATATATGCGACATAATAACAACTAAAAGGCCTGCAGCAATCGGAGCTTATTTTCTTAGTAGATAACAGGGTGTGTCAAAAAGCGCAACTTCGGAATTTCCAAATTAAAAGAAGCTGTTGTGAAATAAATATGAATACGATAACATGCATGCATTTAGAATTTTATTATTACAATAACATCATCATTATATATTATTACAATAACATCATTATTATAATATTAGCCATTTGTTATGTATTCTTACCCCAATTAAATCTAAACTTAGTCGAACAGCATGAAAAGAACGGTTTATTTGTTCTTCTTGCAGGAATTGCCGTATCATGCGAGCGAAATCAAATCGCGCATCGGAAAATTAGCCAAAGCTGTGCACCACAACTCCTTTGGAGACAAAACTGTGACGTAGATAAACACGCTCACATACACATTTTAAATACTAGTGTATTTCGCGCCAAAACAGACTTGCGACGACGAAAAAAAATAAAATTTTCAACTCCGTCGCTGACGCCAGAGTAACAAGTAACAATTTGAGTCACTAAGGTTTGAGTTCCACTGAACAAGCAAAAATCTTCTTGCAGCTATGTCCACTTTGCAGAACGGCAGCGTAGGGAGGCACGTTCCTCCCAACTTAAAGGGTGATGAGAAAAAGTGCACCCTAAAAAGTACCCTTTTTGCACTGCTAGCTTGCCGCTTGCAATATTCGGGTAACAAGATAGGAACCTAGTGGCATTGCTGACGACCTTTAAGTCAGCTGCATATTGCCCTAACTACACGGCTCAATGTTCATATCTCAACTTATTTGTGGCTCGTATTCTTTCAGATTCTCGCTGAGATGGACTCCTTAATTCAATCGCTACCGAAAATTCATCGCAGTACGTCGGAACCAATTTCATTAAATCGAACTCGTTTCTCCTCAGAAGACGGTGTATTTCTAAGTAATGGTTCACCAGACACGCCTATTCACAGTCCTTATATTGGAGCGTTTCCCTTATTTCAAGGTGTAAATATAAATTCACATTACTGATCACCTAAACAGTGTGATTCGGAATTGGAAGATTGTTAGAGCCAAAACCTAGTGATGGCTGATTGCGAGAAGCACATTATTGGCATTGTTGTCGGTCAATAAGTCTGTCCGATATGACTGCAACCCGAGGACAAATACGTTGATGGGCACAGAATCACTCTCAACACCGCGGAAAAATATCTGCGTGCACGTTATCCTGGTCGGTACATGTTACTGGTAAATGTTTGAACAGGCTGTTTCGAACCATCACAAAAACTCGAAATGAGAAATAAAAGGAAGATACTCCATTGTGTGTCTCTACCACTGATATGAATAAACCTGGATCACCCATCCAGTAAAGACATACCTGCATGGCTATGGTCAGATTTCGGGCACATAAACAAACATAATATACTTAACAGTCAAATACAGTCAGATAGTTCAAGAAATAGAAGAAATTGACGTAATGGTGACTGTTAACAAATATTGTATCATCGAAAACGTTTTTGTTTATCCACTGAGCAACTTCTTTTCACCTCCGATACGTTTTTCCGCTAGATAAAGGAGATTGGCACGTTCGTGTTAAACTTTGGGATTGTCCCTTTCAATCTCAGTTGGTTAAGAAACCTGGTTTTCTAAGAGTTCTCTTAACTTTTAAAATTTTGTTATGAAAATTTTGCGAAAGTTCAAAGTCGTCTCAAATTGTCAGCAAAAACAAGTAATATTATTTTATACTTAAGTTCACTACATATTTTTATTATTTGGCACACGTGCAGACATTTTTCCGCGTTGAATTGAAGTTTATAAGTTCACGGCAACCAGGGACCAGTTGTATAAAAGACACGTTAACTTTTAACTGTATAGTTAAGGAAAGAATCGGACAATCAGAGTCGTGTATTTCTGAGTTAAGTAGACCGGCATCGCAAAAGCGTAGGTTCGATGACCTATTGTTGACTTATTTTCCCTTCCACTTTTCCTGGCTTGAATTTGAAGTGTGTATAATTCCACTCAAAATTAAGACCCTTGAAACCTCTAGAGTTTACGTGCATGGAGTAAAGTGCCAAAAATCACAATTGATTTACCCTCACCTATACAAAATGTAGTTAAAGAGTTTTATACAACTGTTCCATGCAGGTTTATAATCCATCGCAATTATCGCTACTCTGGTCTAATTAATGAAAGTAATCACCATACGAAGATCACTTTCACGACCCACTAGACCGGAGTGTCCCTGGTGAAGACACTAGAACGGAGTGTCCCTGATGAAGACACTAGACTGGAGTGTAGAAACGTTGGGTCGTGCATGTAATCTTCGTTTGGTGATTACTTTCATTATTTAAACCGGAGTAGCGATAATTGCGATTTTCCCGCGTTGTCACGTCTACCATAAGGTGAACAATTTTAAATGCACAAATGTATGAGGACTCACATAAAAGCCTTAAGCAGCGAATGTACACTTACAGTTTCAGCAGATATTTGTCCAAAAAACCTCGGATGGTTTATATAGTGATAGGAGAGTTTTTTAAACATCGAAGTGTAATTTAGAGATTTTAATCTTAATTGTAGACAGTATGGCGTAACAAATGAGCTATCCAGTAGTTCAATTAATTTGAATTAATATTCGATACGAGTGAATGAATCGTAATCAATATTTATATTATTGGTTGTACATACGATTTAGTTTGGATTACGGCTCATTTCATCTTAACCTTGCTCATTTAAACATGACTAGAAATACATGTAACTGAATGGTAGTTACTACCTTTCAAAACTGATATATTTACAGAGAGTTTTTGTATAAAGAAATCAACTGTGTAAAAAAATGTGGCCGGGTCGTATACGTATTGGGTGCATGAGAACAAAATTTCACGAATTCCACGTCGATTCGACGTGAGGACTAAAGATGGTGCCAAGGAGTAAGAATGTGCATTTTTGGACCACACGCTAATTTATTATTTCGTGCATACAGATTATGGTATTTCAGTGCATTTTTTTATCTCATAGTAATTATACTAGCATGGATTAGAATCTATGCCAAATTCCCTTATTTAGTAAAACGTGATCTTATAGTTGGAATTCTAGTAATTCTTCTTTCATTTCGAGTTACACTGGTATTGTTAATTATAATCAGGGATCGGATTGGAATTTTACGTTCCAATCTCATACTAATGCCAGCATGCATGGATTGGAATTATGCCAAATTCTCTTATGTATTAAATTAAAGTTGGATTCTAGTAATTCTTCATTCATTTCGAGTTACACTGGTATTGTTAAACATAATCAGGGATCGGTTTAAAATCTTCAGTACCATCCAATCTCATAGTAATTATACTAGCATGGATTTGAATCTATATGGCAATTGCCAAATTCTCTTTTTAGTTAAACATGATCTAATAGTTGAGATATAGCAATTATTCATTTCGAGTTACACTGGTATTGTTAATTATAATCGGGGATCTGGTTGGAATCCTAAGTTCCCATCTCAGAGTAAATGATACCAGCATGGATTGGAATCTATGCCAAATTCTCTTCTTTAGTAAAACGTGATCTAATAGTTGAGATCTAGTATTTCTTCATTCATTTTGAGTTACACTGGTATTGTTTGAATTGGAATCTTACATACATTCTAATCTCATATCAATTATACCAGGGGGGACTGGGATTTATGGCTAAATTCTCTTTGGCAGCTATAACCCCAAATAATAATTGGGATTCTATAGTATTTCTTGTAATCTAACCCCATCCAATGTAATTTTTTTTTATACTGGCAGATAATGAAGTCAAGAAAATTAATTTCTATTCGCGGAAATGCAATTAATGTATTGTTATTATTTCCTTCTACATACTTTACTATTTTAAACTGAATTAACTGTTAGATATGTACCAACTATACAGGGTGTATAAAAAAAAATGTCCCAAATGTAAAATTTCCGTTTTTCAGGATATTTTGCAGAATTTTGCAATTTTTTGTGTTGCTAGAGATAGTTAAGACTTATTTGGTATACCTAGGCCAAGTTTGGTTTTTCATTAACAAAATTATGTTACCGGGGGGGTGGTTCCTTTCCACTGATATTGAGAGGGCTTGCGCGCGAAAATGTGAAGCTGAAATTGAGATATTATTTAGCTGTCTAAAAGTAGGAAAGCTTTTTAATAAACTGTCAAAGTTTCAGGAAAAATAATGCAAACTGGGAGCAACGCGCGACCCCTAAAAGTGACAAATATTTCATTGCGCGCAGTGGATTAAATGCATGGTTGATTTTAGCGTGACCGATCTCATGCAAGGCTGGGCAAATGAATAAATTAAAGCGAGAAACCGAACAAGAAGACGAAGCGATTTAAAAACAAGATTTTTATTCTTGATGTTAATCCTCAACATTTCCACCATTTCTTTCTAAGCAAACTGCGGCTCGTCTGAGTATGGTAAACACTGAACGGCGAACCACATTTGTCTGTCCTGCCTCAAATTATCCATTTCGTTCGAAATTCTTTCTTGCAAATCGCCTACGCTACCACCGGCAAATCTAGGCGAATGGACAGACAAATGGTTCGCTGTTCAGTGTTTCGTATGCTCAGACAAGCCGCAGTTTGCTTAGAATGAAATGGTGGACATGCTGAGGATTAACATCACGAATAAATCGCTTTGTTTTTGTGTTCAGTTTCTCGCTTTAATTTATTCATTTGCCCACCTTGTATGAGATCGGTCACGCTGAAATCAACGATGCATTTAATCCACTGCGTGCAATGAAATATTTGTCACCTTTAGGGGTCGCGCGTTGCTCCCAGTATGCATTATTTTTCCTGAAACTTTGACAGTTTATTAAAAAGCTTTCCTACTTTTAGACAGCTAAATAATATCTCAATTTCAGCTTCACATTTTCGCGCGCAAGCCCTCTCAATATCAGTGGAAAGGAACCACCCCCCCGGTAACATAATTTTGTTAATGAAAAACCAAACATGGCCTAGGTATACCAGATAGTCTTAACTATTTCTAGGGACACAAAAATTTGCCAAATTCTGCAAAATATCCTGAAAAACGGAATTTTTACATTTGGGACATTTTTTTGATACACCCTGTATATCAATCTAAATAGAGGGCCATTCATTCAACTGTAAACAAACTGGAATAATAACTTTTGAGCTAAAATACCTGCCAAGTTTTGAGCCGTATATGAAATTAAAGCTATTAAAAAATTTCATGTAGAAATTTCGAGGCTTTAGCCTAAAGAGAAATATCTAAAAAATAATTCAAAATTGGTAATTGTTTTTGTTTTTTTCAAATATTTGCTTGGTAGTTTAAGTTTTGAAATTTTTACACTAAATATAACTTTTCAATAGCTTTAATTTGACACAAAGCCCAACGTCTGGCGTCAAGTATTTCGTCTCAAAACTCAGAAAAACTATTTTGGCTTCAAGCTGAATAGAGATGTTTGTCAGGAGTTATCTTTCTAGTTTTATAGGGTTCACTGGGGCTATTCCAGTCCAGCTAAACTACCTGTCCAGGATATAGAAATATTATAGTGAATACAATGATAAGTTTCTGTGTGGGTAGCCAAGTTTGAAATTCTTCAGGCCATGCAGTTGAGGCACTTTCTATTTGATTGGTGCATTCGCCAAACAAGCATGTTAATATTTTTTTATAATATATTTTCAACAAACTACCCACAGAAAAACCAGACAGCAGTCTTCAGATTACAAATATGCTTTCCACGATATATTTGCATAGGCTTGGAAATATGGGGAAGGTTAAACGGAGTAGAAACTGAAAATATTGTATAATTAACTACAGGTCTTTCTCTCGATAAATAACTGTCTTGTGAAAGGAAATTTTACAACACGAACGGAAGCAAAGCGTCACGATACATACATAGCGAACGCTAACTTGGTAGACTGGAAGTAATAAGAAATAGTTATTTAACTTGTTGGGTTGATACTATAGATAACTGTAGGGATGCTTTTCCCTGTCGCGTTTTTTGCTCGTACGTACGTACACGGACGTAAGAGCGTAAAGCCTCCTGAGTTGTTGAATAGACCTCTTTATTTATACAGAGTCGCCCAATCAGCGACAAAAAAGTCACTGCCATCAGCAGGAGCTTTGATATCTAAAATTATACTATAAAAAGTACAGATCATTACATTATATAAGTTTAAAAAGCTAAAAGTTCTACATTAATTCAAACATCATTAAGAAAAATCATTGTCGTGGTTTTAGTTTGTAATATATTATGCAACCATCATAATATAAACTTCGTTTAGCAATTTCTGTTCTAACCCTTGGCAAAAGGAGATGTTCACTTTGCCTGGTTACACGTTGAGATAAACTTTTATTAAATTTAAAATAATTGTTCAAAAATATCCAGTTTACACTGATATATTATAACCTATCTTTTATATGAAATAATTTACGAAATACTTTCAAATCCCTAAAACTTAATACCTAGTCTAGCTACTTATTTACATTAAAATGAATTGTCTTAATTAATAAATGAAATGAAATAAATATATAAAATATAAGATAAAGCAAAAAAAAAATAATGATCATAATATATATATATATATATATATATATATATAATATATATATATATATATATATATATACACCTATTTGCAAAAACGTTGCCGCAGATAGATATATAGATAGATACTCGAAATCTAATTAGAATTGCATATGTTGTGTAATATTATAGAAATTCCATGCAAATGTAATCATATGCAATTCTAATTAGACTTCGAGTATCTATCTATCCATCTATCTGCGGCCAACGTTTTTGCAAATGGGTGTATATATATATATATATATATATATATATATATATATATTTATATTATATATATATTTATATATATTATTATAATATTTATATATAATATATATATAATATTTTATATATATATAATCTATATATATATATATATATATATATATATATATTATATATAATATATAATTTCCCAAAATAGATAAAAATTCCCAACAAAATCTATTCAGGTTATATGCTCAGCCTCGTACCCAGGCGCTTTTATAGTAAAAATAATGTTGCATTCAGTTAGTGTATAGAGGTCAGCTGAAAAAAACGCGAGCGCGCGAGGGTGCTTGGGGTGGTTTTGCCAAATTTAGCGCCTGGCAGAAAATGAATTCAACATGGAAACAATCAAATGAATTATACAATATAATACAATACAATATAATTATATACTATGATTACTTGAATTAGATCCAGATTTTTACAGATACACCGGTTTTTAAAAATGTTATAGATTGATTAATATTGAACATTTCATGTTACAAATTATATCCGATAAGTATCACGTATAGAATCAATTTACTTTTAAATTCAAGTTGTTGCCTTTTTCGCGTTGAATTCATCATCGGATTATTAAACCTGTAAATAAAGGAATATGAGTTTATCTCAGTTTATGTCATGAACAGAAACCTCTTAATATGTTGTAAATGCGCTCGCTTTTCCCAATAGTAATATGTAAATACGGCAGGCGATTATTCGAGCACTCTAGGAATATAGTCACTCCGACGGAAAATATTTAAATAAAAGTACCTTCAGATGATTCTTCGCCAAAGGAAACGTTTATAATACTTGGCTAGCCCATCGGCAGTCGATCCAGTAAAAAAATTATACATAATGAGAATATAAACTGCAAAATACAAGCGTTTGCCAGAAATCGGTCACGATTTGCCAGAAATCGGTCATTTTCTGCCAGGCGCTTCCTCGAAAAAAAACAACCTCCCCAAGCACCCCTGCGCGCTTGCTTTTTTTCTGCTGACCTCTATATAAGACCTGAATGCAACGTTATATATTTTACTATTAAAGCGCCTGGGTACGAGGCTGTTATATGCTTAGTAAAAAGACAGTCCAGCTGTGTGTGAGGCTAGTGCAAAGTCCTCTGAAACCTCACGTGGTTTAAAAGGTCTTCTCGATCCTCGGATACATTTATGTGTACTTCTCAGGATGGCAACCGAGAG